CCCGCCCCCCCCCCCGCCCCCCCTCCCCCGGCGGCAAGCCTGGGCTCTCTCTCACCGCTGGCCAGTCCGCATAGCACCAGCTTGAAGGGCGTGAGCACGAAGCACAGGTGATAGGCTCGCGGTACGGTCCTCATGCAGCTGTCCTTGGCGCCGTCGAAGACCCGCGCGCACTTCACGTAAGGGTTGCCCAGCTCGGCGTTGCACACGTCCCCGATGTGAAGGAGCCAGTACCACACGTTCCGCAGTGCCCTGGCTGGGGACGGCTGCGGGGCTGGCACGCGGCTGGCGGGAGCCGGGGCGGGGGGGGGGGGGGGGGGCGGCGGCTGCAGCGTCCCCCCAGGGGGCCGGGAGGCTCCGGGACAGCCCCCGGAGCAGGAGACGCCTGTGGTCAGGGGCCCGGCTGTGCTGTACCCACTGGGGACTAGTCAGGGAGGGGCCCGAAAGGCCCCGGGCGGGGGCAGGGGTGAAGAGACAGGGTGCGTTTTGACCCCCGCCCCCCAAACAGACATTCGAATGTGCTGACCTACGTGCTTCACGCCGTCCATGATCGACCGAAAGAACTTGCGAACCCGGTCAGCCACCTCTTTGGCCTTCTGGGCAATGGCCTTAATCTTGTTCAGGGCACCTGAGAGGCAGGGGCAGGGGCACTGTGGGGCGGCCCTCACCACCGGCCCCCGGTAGGGAGCGGGCGGGAGGCGGGTCTGGGAATCCGGGTGGAGTCGCCCAGTGAGTGAGGTCAGGGGTCTAACTGGGCGCCCCGAAGTCAGGGCCCCAGCAGAGAGGAGCGGAGCCAGAGACACAAGACGAGGGGCCGCGGGGGGCCTTACTGACGAGGGGCCGCTTGGCCCGTTCCAGCGCTTCGGCGGTCTGGTTCAGGGCCAGCTCTGCCCCGCAGGCCACGGCCTTGCTGGCCTGAGTGAAGTTGTGCAGGGTGTTGGCACAAGGCCCTTGCAGCACCAGCCCAAAGGCAGCCACCATCAACAGGGCCCGGCCCTGCTCTGGGGGAGACGGCTCCATCAGAAACAGGACTCCAGCCTTGCAGGCGGCAGCATCTGTAAGCCTCTCAAGGAAGCCTCCAGAATATTTCCCTCGAGCCTCCCCCTCCCCCAGGATCCCTCCTGCCCCTCCCCCTGGGTGCCTCGCTCACTGGAGAAGGCCTGGGGCAGCAGCAGGAGGACGGTGACCCGGACCTGGCGGGAGAAGCCCATGCCCAGGCCGAGGAAGGCGGCCAGAGTGAGGGTGCCCACGAGGCAGGCCCAGGGGCTGTGTTCTTCCACCAGCAGCTCCAGGAGCCCATAGGCCGTGGCCAAGGACAAGCCCAGGGCGAAACCCCCCACGCTGCGGACCACGGCCCGCGACGTGCTCGGCTCCTCGGCCCCCACGGGGGCCATGGCCGTCGGGTCCAAACGTGTGCCTGTTTCCAGGAGACGCCCACGGGGTTCTGGGGCTCTTCCGGGCTCCCGGAATCCCTCCCCACATTCTAAGGTTCTGAGGCTTGTACCACAACTGTGCTGGAGGGCCTTACCCAGCTGCAGGACTGGGGAGGGGGAGGGAGGTCTCGAATCTCCTGCCCCAAGTCTCAGAGCAGAGGGGCGAGAGACACAGACCAGACAGGCTGTGGGCGCGGCAGAGGGGCCGGAGCGGAGGACACCTGTGGGACGAGAGCGGGTGCAGACTCATGGCCATCACACCTCATCGGGATGGAGCCACAGGGCAGAGGAAGCTCCCCCACACCAGTGAGTCAGTCCCAGAGACCCTGCCCTTCCCCAGGGCCTCCCAGCCCCCAGGCATCCGTCCAGTGTCTCCCGCCCCCCCCCTCCCCCCCCGGGGGGGCCCCAGGGGCCCCCCCTCTCACCCCGCGGGCCCCCCTCCTCCAGCCATGCCCTCTCCTCTTCTCCCCCCCCCCCCCCCCCGCCTTTCCCCCGGGCCCCCCCCCCCCCCCGCCTCCAGGAGGCCCAGGTTCCTGCAGGTCCCCCAGCCTCTCCCCCCGCAGGCCCCTAACCCTGATGAAGCGCGTCCCAGCCAGGAGAGTGGGCCCTTGGCCCTGCTGGGCTAACGTACTTGACCCCGCAGCCGTGCAGAGGCTCCTGAACTGGGGGCTGCCGGCCCCCTGTGGCCGTTTCCTGAAGCGCCAGCCCGGAGAGTTTCCGGTCACTGCTTTCCTGCTGGGGGCAGGCACTGGAGGGCTCCTGGCCATGGGTGAGTGTGGGGCCCCCCGGGGCAGGGGTGGGACCCGTCTTCTGACCTAGGACTTGACCCGTGCACTCGTAGGTCTCTTTCAGCTCCTGGTGAACCCCATGAACATCTATGAGGATCAGAAGGTGGTGACATTGTACAGCCTGGTGGGTTAGTGCTGGCTGAGGACAGGGAGGCTTTGGAGGCTGGGGGGACAGGCCTGGAGAGTCCTAGGAGGGAGTCCCGTCTTGTTTCTTCTGTCCCCAAGTGTCCCTGTGGCCCCAGCCCCCTCCCGGGCTTTGCAGGGAGATTCAGGGAGAAGAGGAGGACCCAGTCTTGTCGTCTAGGGGCCCTTCCCAACCGGAAAGGACTCCGTGTTGCATGATGCAGTTCACACCCATCTCTTCTGGCCTCTCTGGCCTTGTGTCCTGCCCCTCCGTCCGTTCGTTCGTTCGTTCGTTCGTTCAGTCAGTCAGCACTCACTGAGTCCCCACGAAGCTTCAGCAGTGAACAAGATCTGCGAGCCTCGGGTGGGGACAGTTAGGCAGTAAAGGAACACTGAGTAAGAGCATTTCTGATGGTGACAAGGGCGTGAAGAGAGGAAGCTGGGGGTTTGGGAGGAAAGTGGCTGGGGCGGCGCCGGCCTGAGTAGTCAGGGAAGGCTTCTCGGAGGCGACACTGCCGTGGGGGGGCTCATGTCGAGAGGGGCCAGGCTGCAGGAACAGAAAACCCACCTGCAAGTGCTTTAACCACAGAGAAAGTTGGTTATCTCAGGTAACAACAGGTTTCCAGGTCGAGTGGTGTTTGGAGTCTGGATAATTCAGCAGCTGGGTCAGCCCCCCAAGGACCCAGGTTCCTCTTGCCTGGTTTCTCCGCCATCTTTGTTTTTTAATTCTATTGTTTATTTTTTAATTTACCTCCAAGTTAGTTAGCATATGGTGCTACAGTGATTTCAGGAGTAGACTCCTTAGTGCCCCTCCCCCATTCAGCCCATCCCCCCTCCCACCACCCCTCCAGCAACCCTCAGTTTGTTCTCCGTATTTATGAGTCTCTTCTGTTTTGTCCCCCTCCCTGTTTTTATATTCTTTTTGTTTCCCTTCCCTTATGTTCCTCTGTTTTGGCTCTTACAGTCCTCATATGAGTGAAGTCCTATGATTTTTGTCGTTCTCTGACTAATTTCACTTAGCTAATTTCACTAATAATAGCCTCCAGTTCCATCCACGTAGCTGCAAATGGCAAGATTTCATTCTTTTTGATTGCCGAGTAATACTCCAGTGTGTGTGTGTGTGTGTGTGTGTGTGTGTGTGCGTGTGTGTGTGTGTGTGTGTGTGTGTGTATCACATCTTCTTTATCCACTCATCCATCGATGGACATTTGGGCTCTTTCCGTCCTTTGGCTGTTGTCGACAGCGCTGCTGTAAACGTGGGGGTGCGTGTGTCCCTTCGAAACAGCCCACCTGTATCCCGTGGAGAAACGCCTAGCAGGGCAATTGCTGGGTCGTAGGGTAGTTCTATTTTTAGGTTTTTTTTTTGAGGAACCTCCATCCTGTTTTCCAGAGTGGCTGTACCAGCTTGCATTCCCACCAACAATGCAAAAGACATCCTCTTTCTCCGCATCCTCACCAACATCTGTTGTTGCCTGAGTTGTTCAAGTTAGCCATTCTGACAGGGGTGAGGTGGCATCTCAGTGTGGTTTTGATCTGTATTTCCCAGACGATGAGTGATGTTGAGCATTTTTGCATGTGTCTCCGCCATCTTGGGCCTGGCGACCATTCCGCCTCGGGTTATGAACTGGCCGCGGCAAATCCAGGCATCTTGTCTTTATACGACAATGTCACAAGACCAGAACATTCCTTCTTCATGTCTCCTGTAAGGAGGAGGAAGACATTCCTGGACCCCCAGCCGGCCTCCCCAAACGGTTCTCTGACCAGAGCCACCTGACCTGTGTTGGGCCAGAGGGAGCGGCTCCTTCTCTGACCACAGCCCCCACTGATGGCCTTTCCCAAGGACCCTTGCTTGCTGCTTGTTCTCATTTACAAGACCTGCTCACATCATTGTGACTGTTTCTAGGGTTTGAAAGGTCCGAGCCAGTCTACACCAAAGGTCCCCTTGCTGCATTCTCCATCCTCTTCCCCACTTGCACCCCTGCCCCCCTCACCCCTTGTCCCCAACCCCCAGTCCCCTGCCCCCCACCTCCCACCCCCAGTCCCCTGCCCCCAAACCCCTGTCCCCAGCCTCCTGTCCCCTGCCCCATGTCCCGTGCCCCCTGTCCCCCTTGCCCCCGACCCCCTGCCCCCATCCCCATGCCCCCCCACCTCCCACCCCCCGCCCTCCCTGCCCCCAACCCCCAGTCCCCTGCCCCATGTCCCGTGTCCCCTGTCCCCCCCACCTCTCCGCCCCCTGCCCCTTGCCCCCTCACCCCCTGTCTCCCACCCCAACCCCCAGCTCCCTGTCCTCAATCCCCAGTCCCCTGTTCCCTGTCTCCTTCACCTCCCTGCCCCTAACCTCCAGTCCCCTCCCCCCTCCCTCCCCAACCCCTTCTCCAGCCCTCCCCCCGCCCCCTGCCCACCCCCTGCGGATGGGGGTCCCACGGTGGAGGGGGGGCCTGCCTTGTATTTTTTTCCCCACCTCCTTCCTCTTCTGCTTCTTCTGATGTCAGAAGGGATTTGAGGGAAAGGGCCTCAAGCTCGCCGTCCTCAGTGCTGTGCGGGGCCCTCTGCCCTGGCTGGCAGGCTGTCCCACTTCAGGGGCCTTTCAGGGCATCTCTGGAGGCTCCGTGTGGACCTGGGAGGTCCCGTGTTCCTGCTCAGAGCAGTTCTGTTTGGCCGACGCCTGCAGCTCCTGCCCCCCGGCCTCTTCTGTGAGGGGCCCCTTGGGTCTCTCTGCCCCCGAAAATGCCCCCTTGTCCCAGAGAAAATGCACACGTCCTTGCCCTGCCTCGATGACGACCAAGCGTGGCTCCCAAGTCGTGGTCCCCCATGTCCCCTGGAGGGAGGCCTGCCGGCACTGTGGTCACCTCTCCTCCCCCTCTGTGCTCCAGGTGCTGGGGTTCAGCGGAGGCCGCCTCCCTCTGCCCCATCTCTGCAGGGGCCCCGTGGGGTCTCTCACTTGGCACAGATGGAGCGCCTCTCCCCTCCCCTTCCAGAAAATTCTGGCTTCTGGTCTTGTCTTTGTATATTCTGGTTGGTAGAGGGCCAGAGACCAGTTTTTCCCTTGTGGACGCCCAGGGAGGACACCCACAGCCCCCTGGGGCTCTCTTCGGAATGCAGGGCAGCGACTTGTCAACAACCATCCTCCGTTTGAGTCTTTGTCCAGAGGCTAAGACCACAGAACAAACCCCTTCCCGTGTCCCATTGTACCACGACGGGGCTACACAGATCCACATTCACCCCCGGGGGCTGTTGCCCTTGAACCGAACTCAGGTTGCGTGAGAAGGAACGTGGCAAGGGGCGCGACTCGCTGCTCGGGGCACACCTGTGTGACTGGGGGAGCCGGCCTGGTGGGGAGGGGGGAGCAGGGCCCTGGTGGGGTTGGGGGGGGGGCGGGTTCCATGGCTCAGAGGCGGTGCCGCCTGGCGGATTCTGGGACCGGCAACAGGCCTGTGTGGGTCAGTGAAGTGGGTGAAGGTCCGAAGCTAGGCGGGGGCCAGGTCAGAGGGTCCACAGGCCACGTTACGGGCCACGTTACGTTATGGGTTGGATCCCAAGCATGGGAGAAAGCCAGCAGGTGGTTTGAGGCAGAGAAGGAACACGATCAGGTTTGTGTTGACAAGGTCACTCTGGCTGCCTCGTGAGCACTGGGGGACAGGCTAGTGAGAGAGGGGGGACGTCGGGACCGGTTGGCCCCAGCCAGAGGCAAGGGGGTCCCTACGAGGGCGGGGGACACAGGGGGAAGTGTAGGGACTTAGGATTCGCTTTGGCGTCAGGGGCAAACACTATTTCACAGGAAGCTTCTAGGTCCCCCGACCAGCTCACGCTGTTCCTTTGGCCTGGAATGCCGTCCTGCCCCCTAAGGACACTTACTCACCTTCAGCCCCAGCTGACACATCATCTGCTCTGCCCGGCCCTCCCAGCCCCACCCTCCTCCCCACAGAAACCCCCGCTCCCTCAGCTCCCGCGACGCCTCCCGTGCACTGAGCGCTCGAGGGTAGTCATCTGTCCACCCGGCCGTCTGTCTCCCTGCATGACGAGCTCCGAGGAGCTCACTGTCTCCTTGCAGAGACCATAGGGAGACACTCGGAAGCGCGAACACAGACCGGCAGGGCCGTGACTCAGGGCTAAAATTAGGGGTGGAGGTGGTGAGTGTGGGAGGGCTCAGGGCACGGGGAGTCCTGGGGTGGCTGTGAGGACCGGGGACTGTTGCCAGAATTGTTCTCTTGCTTTCCTCGCTCCCTCAGCACGTAGGGCCTGTGGGAGTCCAGCCTGGAAATGACAAGTGCTCGCTCCCTTCCCAAACACAAACACACCCTCCTGCACACAGTCAGTGACCATGGCTTCTCAACCTCCCGCGTCTCTCCAAGCCCTTCCAGAGCCCGCCGCAGCTAAGCTCTGTACAAGGCTGTTGAATGAATGAATGAATGAATGAATGAGTGGCCTCGAAGGCCTATTAGAGTCCGTGTAAATGGAGGCAAAGGCAGTACGGTGATGGTTCTAGAAAGAAGCTGGGGGGGGGGGGCGGTGCTCCGGTAAGCCTGGTGGTGGGCCCAGGGGGCATCTTCACTCTGCCTCACCACCTGCCGCTCTCTCCTGACAGGCTTGGGGGCCGTGGGCTGGGGGACCTCCCCTCACATCCGCTGTGCCAGCCTCCTGCTGGTACCCAAGATGCTGGGCAAAGAGGGCAGGCTCTTTGTGCTGGGGTACGCCTTGGCTGCCATCTATGAGGGTGAGTGCGTGCCCTGAGAGAGTCCCTCCACATCTCCAGGCCTCCTTAGTTTACACAGGAAAAACAGTCCGGTGTTGATGAGATGACCTCTCACCGGCTTCTGGGCCCCATCCCCGCACGGCTCCAGCAGGTGGCCCCCGTATGCCGAGCAGGAGCTGAGGGGACCTTCTGAAAGCGGCCTAGCTGCGGAGGGAGACCCCCTGTGCCGTCTTCCCCCAGGACCCGCGGCCAATCTGCGGCACAACCTCAACGAGGTGGTGGCCTCGCTGGGCTGCACGGTGGAGCTGCAGATCAACAACACGAGAGCGGCCTGGCGCGTCTCCACCGCCCCACTGCGCGCGGTGTTCAAGGGCCTGCTGGTCAGCACCCTGCGCGGCAGGGCCTGGGCCCCTCTCCCCAGGGGGCTCCCACACCTGCGCTGGGAGCTGTGACCCCCAGACTGTTTCCCAGCCGGGCACCCCCGGCAGTTTTTGCAGGACTGTCCTGAAACATGGCAGGATGTGCCCTGGGCACTCAACGCCAGGAATGCCCCCGCCCCCGGTCATGGGACGTGCCCCCCCCATCTCCAAACACCTGGGTGGGCGGGGCTCTGAGCAGCTGAACCTGAATGTCAGGAAACCGGTGGCCTTGGCCTGGAGGAGTCAGGAAGCTTCGGGCCGGACGCTGGGGTTGCAGGGGTTGGAGGGTTGAGGAGTTGGCGAGACCGGCTGACCGCGGGGACGCTGGGGACCGGGGACATTGAGATGGCAGAGTGGCCTGGGAAGTTAGTGTGAAGGGTGAAGTCCAAGGGCCTGGAGAGCCGGGAGGGGGCAGAGAGGAGGTGCCTGGTGGGACAGTGGAGCATAGGGTGAGGGGCTGTCTCAGGACTCCCCGAGGGCCCGAGGGCGGAGCCAGAACTTGGCGGGGGTGGGGTGGGGGGAGGGGCAGGGGGGTCGGTGTGACCTCTTCTTCCTCACCCTCCAACCCCAGGGCAGCAAAGTTTCACTGAAAGCCGAGACGCAGAACCTCTCCAAGGCCTTCGAGGACCTGGATGCCCAGGTGAACAGCGAGATGGGCTACAGCCCCGAGGACGCTGAGAGCCCAGAGGGGACGGCCCGCGGCGTGGGGACCCACCGAGCCCCGCCTTCCGGGCGCCGTCTCTCCACACAGAAGATGTACGAGCTGAAAACCAGGCTGCGCTGTTCCTGTGAGGGGCGCAGGGGTGCGGGCAGGGGGCCGGGGCCGGGGCCGGGGGGGCGAGGGGTGGGGGCCTCAGGCACCCTGGCCCCCTCCCACAGACGTGGTGGACCGGGCCATGCTCAGCTGCCGCCGCTGGTTCGACCGAAAGCACGAGCGGTGCATGGAGCGCGTCCGGGTCCCGCTGCTCAACCACCTGCTCTGCCTGCCCATGAAGTTCAAGTTCTTCTGCAGTATCGCCAGGGGTCAGCCAGGGGTCAGCCAGGGGTCAGCAGAGTAGCAAGGGGAGGGGGACACCAGCGCCCAGCCCGCCCCGCCCCCCCACTGTGGCTTTGCCAGGGGTCAGCACAGTGACATGGGGGGGATGCAGCCCGGCCCCCTCCCCTGACTGGCGGTGTGACCCGGTTTATATGCATAGGAGGCTCGGGTTTCGTCTGTTCATCTGAAAGGCGGGGGTAATAAGAGTACCTACCCCGTCAGGGGTTTCTGAGGGCTTGAGGTGCAACACACGGGAAGCTAGTAACAGGGCTGACACAGGAATTTTCTCATAAATGTTGGCTGTCATTATTCATGGTTGGCATGGTTATAAACAGGTAAGAGAACCGGGGGAGAAACGAGGCCTCGGTCCGGGAAGGGGGCTCGAGGAGAGGGGGGAGGGGAAAGACTCCGTGCGGTGCGGAGAGACAGGCAGGCTGCAGGGAGGGGCCGCGGCGGGGAGGCGGGGGGAGCGCGGCCCCTGACCGCCCTGGCTGTCCGGCCGGCAGCGATGGAAGTTTGGTGCCGCAGTCGCATCCCAGTGGAGGGCAACTTCGGGCAGACCTATGATTCCCTCAACCGGTCTGTGCGCGACCTGGACGGGGAATTTTCAGCCACTATTGACCTCAAGGTAGGAGGCGGGGCCTGGGGGCTGGGGGTGAGGGGAGCTAGGGAGGAGGGAGAGGACACAGGGCCCTGACGAGGCCCAGGAGGGAGGGAGAGGACAAGGGGACAGGTGTCTGTGCTGGGACGCCAGGTGCGAGAGGGGAGGGCGGCAGCTCCCAGCTGACGCAGGGGAGCAGGGCGGGGGGTCGCGGGGGTGGGGGTGGGGGATGGCGAGCAGCAGGAGGGTCCTGGGAAGAGCTGCCCCCCCAGTGGGCGGCGGGGGAGGGGGGACATCCGGCCGCCTGCGCCCCCACGCCCCCCAGGAAGAGAAGCAGGTGGCGGTGCTGGGCCTCAACACGAGCTGGGAGCACGTGAGCGCCGAGCTGCGGGACCTCGTCCGCCGCCAGGAGGCCCAGCTGGGGTGGACCCTGGGGCTGCTGCGTGTGCTGCTGTCCTGCACCTTCCTGCTCGTCCTGCACGCGTGAGCGCCGCGCCGGCTCGGGTGGGGCCCCCGCGGACCCTCCGCGTCGCCTTTGGGTACCGTGGCAGCCGCTGATGACGCAGAGTCAGAGGAAACGCGGGCTTTTGGTCAGGGACACGTGGCCCGCGTTCCCACACCTTGAAAGGGAGGCGTCTTCATTTATCTGCCTCCTTCGGCCTTCATCCCAGCGCGGACTTTTTTACTTTTAGCTTTGACTTTTGATTTTTCTCTTGCCCTTCACATTCCCCTTGGCTCCGACTTTGTCCATTTTTATCATCCAATCCCACTTTCATTTTCTCCCGCCTGCCGCGTTGGCAGCGACTTTCCCAACATTTGGACCAAAGTCCTCAACCCCACCCAGCCTGGCGTCCAGCTGGGCCGTCCTGGGCCTCACTCTGTTTCCCTGGCGACCTCTGGACCCTCTGTCTCCTATCACCGCCCCTCACATGCCCGAGACGGGCAGGGGCCGTCAGGGGCGGCCACAGGGGCTCCTGCTCCATTGTCCCCCCGGCTGTGGGGCAGCTGAGGGGCAGGGGTCCTGAGCGAGCCGAGGGCCCTGTGGGGAGGCAGACATGAAGGAACCATCTTCCCGCCCTCGAGATGCTCACGGTCTAGGGGAGGCAAGAGAGGGAGGCACCCAAGAAGCATGGACCGCCCGAGGGCCGCACTCGGGACCGGCTTGGGGACCCGGTGGGAGCTGAGTGCGTGCCCCTGCCATAGCTGATTCTCTTGGGCAAGGGTCCTGGCATCTTTGGGGTGCGGAGGGCAAGGCTGGGCTTGCGGCCTGGGCTGAAGTGGCCATGGCCGGAAGAGTCTGGAAAGCCCTGCGGGCCGGAGGCTGGGAGGCCAAGGTGGGTCAGAGGTTAGGGAGCCTGGCGGGGGAGTGGGGCGCGGCAGGAAGCTGGCCCGAGACGGAGGCAGGAAGAGGCGAGGGGCACCGGGTCCCGCGCCGGCTTGGGGAGGGAAGGAAGGAGGCACAGAGAGTCCGCCTCCAGGCTTTCCACCCGGTGAGGTCACCGGCTAAGGGGCAGCGGGGAGCGGGCGGGCCAGGTTCAGGCGCGCCCGGCAGCGCTCGGTCTCTCCACAAGGGGGCGCTCGCGGGCTGGCCTTGCATTTCTCCTCTTTGTCCCTTAGAGGCAGGAACAGGGTTTCCACGGGTCCCGAACCACGAGCACTGGAACTCGGGATTCCCAGTCTGCAGGGCTTACGTCATGTAACTCAGTTTCAAACACGTCTCCAATAACTTTTTGTCCTTAGTAAACTGAAACATTACGTGGGACTTTGGAGCATCCTCAGGGGAGAGGGAGCCTCGGGCACACGGAAAACACTGCCTTACTCAAGGGTGTGGTGGGGAGAAGGGAAGCAGGTGGGAAGTGAGTTTTGCTTGAAGTGACCTCCAGGAGAGGTTCTGCCGAGATGAAAGCAGGAGTCCTTCACGATGGCGGGCAGTTCTGCAGCCTTGAGGGGCTTCACGCCCCGGTGCCTTTGCTCCCGCTGTTCCCGCTGCTTGAGATCCACCCTGCCGGATCCGCGGCCGGGAAGCCCCCCTTCCCGGCCTCGTACACGACCCCCCTTGTCTTCTCGCTTGTGTGCCTGCCCGCCTGGCCCTGGGCTGCAGGCTGCCGGGAGGCAGGGCCTGTCTCCGCCTAGGACGTAAGCGGCGCTCCGCGCGTGCGGGGTGCCCCGTTGAACGAGCGAGCGTCCGGGAAGCCCGTGGTTGGGGGTGGGTGAGGACGACATGGAACCGTCCCCGTGCCCAGGTCCTTCTCCTACGTGGACAGCTATAACGGGGACATCCGCTTTGACAACATCTACATCAGCACCTACTTTTGCCAGATCGACGAACGCAGGAAGAAGTTGGTGAGTGGGCGCAGCCCTGACCCAGGGTGCCCCGCCGTGTGCGCCGTGTGGCCTCGCGCTCCAGGGGGGGCGGAGGGCAGAAGGGGGAGGGCCCTGGTGTCCGTCACCGTGTGGACGTTGTGTCCAGGGCAAGCGGACTTTGCTGCCGCTCCGCAGAGCCGAGGAGAAAGCCGTCATCTTCCCCTGCAGTCCCTTCATGCAGGCCTCGGAGACGAGAAACGTGGTGAGGGTGGCGTGGGGCGGCCCGTGGACCTGACCGCGGGCGCTGGCCGCGTGGGGCGGAGGGCAGGGGCACCTGGGAGGGCTCCAGGCCTGCTGCTCCTGTCCTCCGGCAGGCGAGGGAGCTCGCAGAGACCCTGCCCGTCCTGCTGCTGCTGCTGGTGCTGTGCGGCCTGGACCGGGCTCTCTACTCCGTCTTCAACACCATCCGCCATCACTCCTTCCTGCAGTACTCTTTCCGCAGTGAGCCCGCGCCCGGCCCCTGGGAAGTCCCCCGCCCCACCCCCGCAGCCACCCCACCTGACCTCGTCCAGTGTTGTCACCTCCTCCTGTGTCTCACCCCTCCCTGGCCATCTCAGGGTCAAATCTCAGCCCTGCAGTCTGACGGAGGGGGCCTCAGCCCCCTTTACATCCGCGACAGGGAGGGGTTAGCGTTCAGTGAAGGGAGGAAGGTCCCGCGCTGCAGAGATTTCTGTGCTTTGAAACCCCCCCCCACATCCAGTCCCCATCCTGCCCCTCCCCTAAACCGCAACCCTTTCCTGACCCCCCCCCCCATGGCCTCAGGCAGCCATAAATTGGAGGTGAAAGTCGGGGGGGACTCCATGCTGGCCCGGCTTCTTCGGAAAACCATTGGAGCCCTGAACACGTCCTCAGAGACCACGGTGGACTCCAGCAACATGCGTGAGCCACGCCGGACGCCGGCTCGGGGGCGAGGGCGGGGGCCCTGGGTCTCCCCAAGGCAGAGAGGTGGCGAGATGGGAGAGGCATGCTGGGGTTGCAGGGATGAGGGCGGGAAACAGCAGGGGAGGCTTGGAGAGCTGGGGAATGATGGCCTGGGGTCAGAGGAGCATAGACGCTAGGGCATTGGGGACAGAGGGTCCCAGCGCCCCCAGAGAGCCCTGCCCACGATGGACACTTTCTCTCTGTCCGTGCCGTGCTGAGCAAATAGCCCCGTGACCCCGGTGGCTACGGTGTCCCAGGTGCAGCTTGCAGGGCGAGGGGCAGGCGGGAGGAGAGCAGGGCCACCAGAGACACGTCCCGGTGGGGTGACGGCCCGGCCCTGCCCCAGGCTGCCTGCCGCAGCCCGTGAGCCTGAACCCCAGGGCCTACGTGAGGGCCGCGCTCCCCGTGGGCCTGCTGCTGTGTCTGTGCCTTCTGCAAGCCTTCGGCTACCGGCTCCGGAGAGTCATCGCGGCCTTCTACTTCCCCAAGGTACGCCGCCCCCACCTCACAGGCGTGCACCCTGCCGACCGACCCCGCCATGAGGGGACGCGCTGTCACTACCCCTGACGACCCCCCCTCCCCGACCCCAGCGAGAGAAGAAGCGGGTCCTGTTCCTCTACAATGACCTGCTGAGGAAGAGGGTGGCCTTTACGAAGCTGAGAAGGGCTGCCATCGTGAGCCGGGCGCAGCAGCAGAGGGCCCCCGTAAGTCCAGGCTGCCCACCCCCCCACACCGCCGCCTCCTGTGGTTCTGAGGACCCCGGGAGGGGCTTCTCCCGCCGCTCCGTCCAGCCCCGGGGGGCCGGCCTGCGGAGCTCAGCAAGTTCCCACGAGATGCACACCAGGGGCCCTGGACGTCCGGCTCCCGGGGGTCAGGGCCGAGTCTGCCTCTGTCCCCCCGCGTTCGGGCCAGCCTGAGACACTCAGTGGGCCATCAGGACGCAGGCAGAACAGAGGAATCAGATTTGATACAGCCTGACTAGAAGAAAGCAAGGGGGCTCCCCCGGGATCAGGGGACCCGAGGCAAGCCACAGATGCTACTGCGAGGTCACAACAAGAAGCTCGGGGCCTCTGCCGGAGGTGGGGAGGCAGGTGGGCTGGGGGTCAGGGAGGCATCATGAAGGGGCACGTGGCGGAAGGACAGAGCACATGGCCAGGAGAAGCAGGTTCCAGCCCACGCTTCCTCATCAAGCTGTGTGACCTTGGCCGTGGTCCTCAAGGGACCTCAGAGGGTGGACAGATCTGCAAGGCCTGTGCAGAGATCAGTGGCAGTGAGGTGTGGGGTGCTGGTGCCAGAGGGCCTGGGTTTGAATCCTGGTTCCTTCGTCACCATGGCAACGGGATCTGCGGTGTTTACTTAAAAGCTGTGCCTTGGTGTTTCCCTTCTGCAAGACGCAGTGAACCACTTCTCCATCTGGTTGTTGAAAGGGTTAGAGGAGCCTCGCTGTCATGGAGCAGGCGCCTAGCAACTCCCACGCACACGTTGTCGTCATGTGACCCTTCTTGGTACAGGACCCGTGTTGTTTAAAAAAAAAAAAAAAAAAAGTAGCCATTCTTATTTCACCAGCCCTAACAGAGCTCTTGGAAGTGAGAGACCACATTTGCTGAAGTTTTCCTCTAGGGCCTAGGTCCCCCACCCCGTGACACACGGAGGCTAAATGAGCATCTGCTGAGACAGAGCGCACTATGAATCCATGACCTGGTCTGGAAGTAAACTGGACTCTCAGGGGCAGATAGAAGGGCATTCGTCCCAAGCTAGGGGAACAGAACGAGCGAAGTCTCAGAGCCCGAGGGGAATGTCAAGGGCCAGGGCTGGTCTGGGGGGCTGGCCAGAGGACGCAAAGTTCAAGTGGGGGTAAGTTAGAGCAGAGGCTGGAAAGGGACCGGAGTGTGGAAGGCTCTGAAGGCCGAGGCCAGGAGTTCTGCCGCTGACATGCAGCTTCTTGAGCAAAGACTGAGCTGATAAGGTGGCCTCTAGAGAATTCCCGGTAATAGTGCGGAGAGAGGGGGGAGCCTTCTGAAGCAGGCTTGTAATCTGGAATCAGGGCAGCTGCGTGCAGCCAGGTCTGGCCGTTGACTATCTGTGCGCCTTTGGGAACTCGCATAACCCTTACGAGAGTCCCCTTTCTGGCCTGTAAAGCGGAGAACACAGGGCTAAGAGTCTTATGTGTCCGACTCACTTCTCAGCCCACCCCGCGAACAGATCAGGTGGTTCACAGGGAGGTACAGGTGATGGTTGTTGCTGCTCCCAGCTGGGGGAGTGGAAGCTGCACCCCCAGTCTCCATCACCGAGCGGGGGGAGGGAAGCTCCCTAGGCCCATTTGCATGGCGACCTTGCCCTCCAGGCCCCGCTCCCCGCACCCCTTCTCTCCCCCGGGCTCCCGGCAGCGCCACCACCTGGCCGACGTCCTGCACCGCCGCTGCCCGCTCCTGCGCCGCTGGCTGCGCCGGCGCTGCGTGGTGTGCCAGGCTCCCGAGACGCCCGAGGCCTACGTGTGCCCGACGCCGGACTGCGCGGCCGTGTACTGCCGGTCGTGCTGGGACGACATGCGGCGGCGGTGCCCGGCCTGCACCCCGCGCGAGGAGCTCTCTTCCTCCGCCTACAGCGACAGCAACGACGACGCCACCTACGCCGAGTGACGGGGCGCCTGTCGCTGTCCCCCCTCCCCAACCCGCTCGTCCGCGTTTAATAAAAGCCCCTGCACTCCCGACGCCTGCGCTTCCCAGGGGTCTGAGCCGCCCACCGGATCCCCGCAGAACCGGGCCGCCGACGGGACGCGGGAGGGCAGCCAAGCTGCTGGGAAGGGGTCGGCCCCCGGACCGGGAGGAGGCGCGCCGCCCAAGCCGGTCGGACCGGGCCTCGTTCGGCTCCCACCCCGCGCAGCAGCGGGAACGCGGCGGGGCCG